CCCAATTTTATTAATACACCAATTAGCAGAGTTATTATACATGTAAGTACATGTATCATACAACAAAAATATGTATGTATACTTATCTTGAAGCTTTTTTGACATTTAAATCTTCTATCTAGAATTTTATTGATTTTTTTTTTTAAATTGGGTAGTTGTGGTACACTACCCCCATTTTATATCCTTTTTCTTTTGCTAATAAATACATTTTATCATTTCATATAAAGACTTCAAAATTATCTTTGGTAGACCCAGGATTTTTTAAAGGGGGGGTTCAACAGGCTAATAATGGGGTCTGAGCCAGTGAGGGCCACCTTGTGGCCCCAGTGGGTAAAGGACAAAAGCCCCTTTAAGCTCCCAGGATTTGGGTCCTTTTTAAATCAGTTTTGTGAGTTGTGTTATGTATATTTTATGTATAATAAAAGCAATATCTAACCAAAAAAAAAATGATTATTTCACCTTTACTAAATTTTGGCACACATGAGGGGGAAGGGGTATATAGAAACTGTTTTAAGAACAGTTTTTTACGGTAATAGAAATTTCATATTCATCCAGGATTTTAAATTTAAAATACGAATAATAGATTTACCTCCTAAAATTATGTTTCTGGGGAACATAACAAATTTTATTTTAATGCTTTATAGGCAGTGAAAAGGAATTATACACTAAGTCTTAAAGACCTTGAAGACTCAGATTCATATTTGAGTTGTTATTTATATAATTATGATATATGCTGATAAAACAGATTATGACATAATATTAAAAAATAATATTTATACCTAAAAATTATCAAATGTAGTACCTTAGAAAATTACATGAATTAATAGCCAAATTATTGTTACTACAAAATAACATATCTTTACTTATAATATCTAAAATTATAGACAGAAACTGTTTGCATCATTGAAAACTGCAGAATAGAGTAAAAACCTCTGCAATACCTTAAATTCTTGAACATGTAATTGTAGAAGTAGTCTTTGACAATATACGACATTGTAAGTCTTGTTCAAATCTTAAACCAAATTTTACTCATTGTTCAAAAACTAAAGAGTGTCATAAAAAGAAGGAAGTGGTTTGTGTTGCATTAATTTTTGTAGAATCGTTTGTTATTGTATCTCAAAACACAAATCTCAGATTCTCGTACACAAGAACCCCCCCCCCCCCCCCCCCCCCGCGCTTACTATCAGCTTCTTTAAATAATGCGTCAATCATATCCATGTTTCGAACGTCAAACCATGAGCATCCACAAACTTAATAATTAATTAAAATAAATATTTGATGATTTTTAAAAAGATGTATCATTATGAATGAAAAGAAATTAAAAATGTGTATTCAGAATTTCCTCGACGTTCGCTGTTAGTCAATATTGACGCTATGCAAGCGCGTCGTATAAAAAAGGGGAAAATAATATACAAAAGACGTATAAAAGATAAAAAAAAACAGCTGCAAATGATAGTAAGTAACAGATTTATACTTACGAAAAAGGATCCAAAGCACTTCGAGGCGTCTGCCATCGTCTTCTTTTCTGGTTCTCCAGGTCGACCGGAAACCAGGCAACTCATTGCCAGACAAACATGAGTCATTTGTAGACTATGAATTTTCGAAATTTTAAATACTGAACTCACGAATGAATGAAGGGTAAGAAAATATAGGAAATGATTAAACTAAATGGGATATTAATTAAAACTATTCATATATAGCGGATTTTGATTAATATTACACATTTTCTCTGGGCGACTTAATAGATATATATATTCCTATGAAAATATATGCCGGGTTATAAATAATTTAATTATTTCTCGCTATGCGAATAAAAAATGCAGAAATTATAATTGCATTGAAAAAAATAATTACCAAAGAGTCTTATTTCAGGACATCAGTCATCTTACCACAAAGTACACTGCCTTAATGATCAGTTAAAATATTAGGGAGACCGGAAAAAGTCTGCTTAATCCATCGGGGTCCCAGACCGATATATAAATGCTTAACTGGGTTCCCTAACCAAGAAGTCCGGATATATATATATATATATATATATATATATATATATATATATATATATATATATATATATATATATATATATATATATATATATATATATATATATATATATAATACTAAAAAAAATGTTTGTTATAAAATAGAGTGAGAAGAATTTAAGAATACCAGTCTCAAGATGTAATTGTGTTAGAAGTGACTTGTATAGACACATTATCATGATTAGTGACTTGTATAGACACATTATCATGATTATGTACATTGGAGGAGTACACTTTGGAATATGCTTATTTATTGGATTTTTTTTATCTTCATCTTCTGTTCGAAAATTGTCATAACTACAATTTGATTAAATTAATTTCTTTGTGTAATGATAACGATCGTATGTGAGCGGATCAAAGGATCTAATTTTAATTAGATTGGTCATCATTTTATGACCCCGTAGCACAGCCTAAAAAGATATGTCCTTGATCGGGAAAAGAGGAAATAACCTGACCCGCAACATGGTGTTTGTTCTACACTGTCATAGAGCAAAAATTATTAAAAACTCTCCAAAGTCTACAACCAATAGATTTTAAAAAAAAATCATTTTTATGCCCCGCCATGAATATGGCCGGGGCATATAGTGTTTGTCATGTCCGTCTTCCGTCCTTCTGTCCTTCCGTCTGTCCTTCGTCACACTTTGCGTTTAGCTCTGTTCAAAGCTCAGTTTCAAAGAAACTATCCGAGATGTTTTTATCAAACTTCATATGCTGATAGATATTGATGAGAGCTATGCAACTGCATCAACATTTTTTGACCTTGACCTTTCTTTTGCCCTTGACCTCACTTTTCTTAAATTAGTGTTTAGCTCAGTTTTAAAGATACCATTTAAGATAGTGTAATCAAACTTCATATGTTGATACATACTGATAAGAGCTATTCAACTGCATCAACATTTTTTGACCTTGACCTTTCTTTTGACCTTGACCTCACTTTTCTTAAATTAGTGTTTAGCTCAGTTTTAAAGAAACCATTCATAATATTTTTATCAAACTTCATATGCTAATACATACTGATGTATCCTTTTCAACTGCATCAACAATTTTTGACCTTTCCCTTTCCCTTTCCCTTGACCTCACTTTTCCTAAATTAGTGTCAAACTTCATATGCTGATACATACTGATGTAAGCTATTCAACTGCATCAATATTTTTTCACCTTGACCTTTCCTTTGACCTTGACCTCACTTTTCTCAATTTGTGTTGAAATGTTGCATTACTAATATACCCTCGGCGGGGCATTCATGTCCTATGGACATATTTCTAGTTTAGTCCTGTTCTTTCTTCTTTAGGTAGGAGCATGTAAATACATATATTGTTAAGATAAATTTTATATGGAAAGCTAAGTTATTGTACAGTGTGTAAAGCCTTTTTTTAACCAAATTTTAGTTCCCCCAGCACTTAAGGTAGTTCGATCCTCAGGTTCTGAAAATCAGCTTATAAGTAATTGAAAATGCTCACAAAAATGTCTCTGATTTCACAGAGTAAAGTGAATTTACCCATGTTATTTCTTCAAAGTTCGTCATTAAAGTTAATCATATTATATAGGGAAAATTATTAAATCTCAAATATATTTTCAGGAAATGCAAATAAAAACACCAGCTATGCATTTTCTAATTGAAAATTGATCAACAAATATATTTTAGGATAAAAAATATAGGTATCCAGGCATTTTGAGAAAATTGCATCTTTTTATGCTTATACAGTATATTAGTTCTTCTATTTACTTCAATTTTTATGTAATAAATAGTGTAAAAAGTTTGTGCTATCATTGCTGGACATCACATATCACGTCTAATTTCATACCCTGCTAATAAGCATTGCTATCTAATGCTAGATAAAAGGAAATTCAATTTCTCTAAAAATGCATTTATTTTTTTTCTTTTTATGGGGTACAAATGTCAACTTTAAAAAAAAACATTTCTAAGACATTAAATGATCTTGAATCATATTGAGATGCAAAAAATGAAAATTGTTGCACGAAAAGATCTCAATTTCAAGCTTCATATTTAGACTTTTGAAATAAAATAATGAATTTAAGAGTTATCCTTCCTGGCTAAGGATCGGATATCCTTAAATTTTATTTTTATTGCACAACATTAGAATAGGTTTTACAAACTGTTTTTCATCACTTTACTCTTTTAAATTTTGATTTTATGTCTTTTTATGACGCCACCTTCTCGGGTGCTCCTTAAACACAGGAGGGAATTCCTATACTGAACTGAACTGGCAGTGAAATGAATGGCGCTGTGGGTCGGAAGTAGTAAAGCCGTATTCCTAGGGCTCTTCCCGAAAACGCATATTGTAAATCCAAAGTCACGAGTAATTTGATTACCGAGTTTATTAAAGCTTTTAACAATGGACAACAATTTTACTATTAGCGAACTGAGTGACACATAACACGTGTTGAGTAAACAACAGTCTGTGAAAAGCTCTGATAAGATGGAAGTGAAAGAAAGATAAATAAAATAAATACATGAACAGGCGCGGATCCAGGAATTTTTTTCCGGAGGGGGGGTGTTTTGTTTTTTGTTTGTTTTTTTGTTTGTTTGTTTGTTTTTTTTTTTTGCTTCAGTATATACTTTTAATAACTCTGCAAATTCCAGGGGGTCCGGACTCCCTCTAGATCCGCGCATGCATGAGTGTTTTTAATCTGTAGTTCTCAACAATTGTGCAAAGATATATTGAATATATATATCACATAAAATTCTATGCTATAAATATAGAATTGTTTATGTTTAAAACATCAAATGCCTGTGATATAACGTTATACGTTATATTATATGATACATACATAAAAAATGTCTCTGTCACATATCATCTTTGAAAGCCACAAAGGTTTCGATCCGCCTCACCCTTCACACTTAGTTGCGGAGTATTTGATCGGGTTCGACATTACAAAAATTTACACCAAACTTAAATAATGGCGGGTTGGGAAATTCCATCCAAACTTTTAGTTTTGTCATGTTTTTGTTGACTTGTAATAGATGCCCAACATATGAATACGCAGAGATAAAAAGTCATTGTTCTTTGCCTACTGTAATGATGTAAGTAAACAGCAAGTACTTCAAAGAAAGAAATTGACTGGAAATCTTGAGTGTTTTACCAATGAGTCGATGCAGGATTAGCAGGCCTGATTTAGCTATATAGCTTGAAATAGCATATCTTTATTTAGCTATTCAAAACAGCTTGATAATCTACTTAAATGCGGTTTTACAAAAAAAAAAAATAATGAAAAAAAGACAAAAAGTATGTGACTACTCATATTTGTTGTATCATACGGTATCAGGTTCGTTCGCCCTAGGCTATCTACCTGTTCGCATGAGTCCGTTCGCGCAGGGTCCGTTCGCCATTATTCTTGTTCGCCCTATATCTCGTTCGCCCTAATATATTTACAGTATATAGTAAATATTAACATTTGTTATTAATTTTATTCAATATTTTACGACTTGGCTTTTTTTTTTCCAAATGTTGCTACAGAATTTTTTTTATTTACCATAATCTTAATTAAAACAATTCAAATTTGATATTAATGCTTTTTACATGCTTAATTGGTTTAATTATACTTTAAAGTATCACTGTTATTTAGGGGATCATATCTGTGTGTTTTTTTTTTGTTTTTTTTTTTACAATCTGCATTATATTTTGAAAACAATTAAAGGACGGAAAATTTCTTATATTATGAAATTTCTGTTGGTCTGCCAGGTCTTTGATAGGAGAGGTATTTAGTGTGACCACATGCATACATCTGTTGTCTCCTGTGTGCAATTTATGTACCAATGTACATATAATTTATTTAAAAAAATACATTGGTTCATTATTCAACTTTCTGCAATATAAATAAGGCAAACGGACCCTGTGCGAACAAGTTTTAGGGCGATCAGACTCTGGGCAAACAACGGCGTCAAGGCCGAACAAATTTTAGGGCGAATGAATATACAACCGTATCATACTATATGAAAAGCAATCTAAATCAAAGATTAAACATTGCTGCATTTGAACACTTTTAAGCAAAAGATGTGTTTCCATTTTTTTTTTTTTTTGATAACTGTACACTATCTTGTGTGCAGTTAGGCATGGATAAGTATGATTCCCAATGCTGTGGACCCCAGCCCCTAGTCCCAAATTACTGAAAAATACACTGTTGCTGATCATTGTGTTGAATTATCTTGCTGATCTGCTTTATAATTTGATTTGAGAAGTAACTGTGTTGTTACAGATCAATTGCTTTATATAGCCCCTAAAGTTTTAGTACTTTGAGGGCAAAGTCTATGTAAACAATTTTTTTATGCTTTGTTTTCAAAACAATGCAAAGTTGAAAACTGTCACTGCTAAATCTTGGTATTTTGAATAGCTTAATAAAGTTGCATAGCTATTTCATACTATGTATCTAAATTAAGAGATCTTGCTGGACTGATTACCGTAGTTTAAGATTGCAAATGTTATATAATTTTCTTGTTGAAGCCAAGTAAAACAAATTTTGTAGGATATTTAAAGAACTGAATTAAAAAAAGTTACCAAGTCTCAAAATACATATTTAATGCAGAAGTTGCCCTTACATGTATATAGGCAGCACTGCAATACTTTACAACAATAAAAAGACAAAACCCCACATTTATAACATCAGAATAAGAAAACAAATAGCTATAAGTAAATAACACATAAATGACAAATTCAATTTATATTTATTTATTTTATATTTATTTATTTTAATCAAAGCATTGTTCTAGGTCAGGTGGTAGATGGGTATTACATCAACACTTTAATCTCCAAATACTTTCTGTGTTAGGTTGCAACTCCACTTGAAGTTAGTTTGATTCGAACAGTGAAGCAGATAAAATGGGGGAAGATGAATTCAGGGTCCGCTGTATCATATCAGACAATGATGATGGACAAGAAAAGGCTTCAGAGGCCATGAAAAAAGCTCACAAGGTAAATAATTTACCATATGTTTTAGACCAATGGTATAAACGTACATGTATTCTAATTAGTGTAAACTAACAATTTCAAATGTCTGAGGTATGATTCTATTAGGGCTTGTGTATTGTAATATTTATAGATCTGTGTCATTTTAAATTATGTATTTGCAGAGCCTAATTGAAGAAGGATTTTGTGTTGAGTGGATGAAGGACTCAGACTGTCTGAAGGTCATCAAAAAAGAAAAGAACTGTGTTTATCTCTATGATCCATTTGGTGGCAAATCTTTCAACCATATCAGAAATTTGGGATGCAGGTGGAAATTTTTTTTCATAAGAATATTTTCATCGAAAAATAAATAAGTGGATATTTGTGTTTTATATGTCATTGAAACTTGATGTTTGATGATTTATGTAATGCATACATGTATCTTTACAGGATATTTGGACCCCTCTGCATTTTGTCTTCACTTGAGTATAAACTTGTAAGTCTTAACACACGTCTGTTTTACACTTTGCATCGATATCCTATCATTTGTCAAAACAGAGCTCCAGATGAGGTGTTTATTTGCAAAAATATGCATTGAATTCTACAAAATATGCATTAAAATTTAAAATTTGGCATACAGTTACACATAAGCAATTGTAAATATGCATGTAGTTCGAATGTAATGTGTATCAACATGTGATGGATTGAATGATATATACAGGTATGAAATAAATTATAAAGTGAACTGGGGTTAGCTAGATCAGTTTCTGAAGAAAGATTTAATTTAAAAAAAAATCATTGTTTTGTTTCTTTGAACAGAAAAATCTTGGGATAGGTACAGTTAAGCAAAAAAATCCTTGAGTCATCTGTTTTAGATGATATCATCTCAAGTATGACAGACAGAAACAATAGATGACTGGGGAGAAAAAATAGTGCAAGGTATTGGCAATCAGAGAGGGCGTTATCTGTAAAATTAGCAAGAAACACAATGTTAAAATGATATTTGGAAAATATGATTCTTCTACTTTTCCAAAAAAAAAAAAGCTAAAGAGAATTTCCTGTGCCTGTAGTAACTTTGCCTACCATATCAGGGGTAGACAAATAGAATTTTTCAGTACTTGCCCTCGGACAGGTTATCATCGTAAAATTACTTGTCCTACCAAAAAATATGCTTGTCCCACCTTTTTCTTAATTAAAATATATTAAAGCATTATCGTTTATATTAAAATTATTTCTCAATTGATACACTACATTGGGACCAAATTAGACCCAAAATCACTTAAATATCTAAGGAAAAATTCTTGAGGGGTAATTGTTGTTCCAGGGAGATTTCCTAGCTTGTGCAGTGTGTATATCTATATACATGTACATAATTTAAACATTTCTCTATATTACTTTAGCATAAAAAAAATACTCAAGAAAAAAAAAATGAAGACACCAAATTATTTGATGATTTCCAATTGCAAGGCATATGAATATCAAGCATTAGAATTAAAATGCACATTGTCAACTTACAATTTCTCAACTGAAAAAAGGTTATTTCATATCCTGCATAATATGCATACATGATCACAGTTCATTATTTTACATGCTTTAGTAGCTACACATGAAATTCTAGAGGGGTTCTGACCGAGTATTTGATGTAATGGTCAACAGCAGCGAAAACAGGTGCTGTATTGTGATTCATTACATTTCTTCAGCGGTAAAACAAACAACATTTGTTTTGTTAACTGGAGAAGCACTTGTCCGCAGGCAGGTAGCACTTATCAAATAACTTGCCCGCCAAACAAAATTGGTTGTCCCGGGCGTCGGGCAATGCTGTTTGTCTAGCCCTGCCATATGATCATCCTGTTCCAAAGCTGTTCAAAGAAATCAATTATTTAAGCATTCAGAGAGTATTGCATAAGCAATACTAATCCTCTACTGGCAAATTAAAAAGGCTGTAATTCTGTCAAAAATCATCGAACTGGAATGAAACCCAAAACCCAAACTTATCTATAACTCATCAAGATAAATAACCAAAAATCAGTTCAATATCTGCATGCCTTGAGAAAAAAAAGTGCAGAAAAACGAGTGAGACAGACTTACAGACAGATGGACAGCTAGATGGAGGGACAGACAGACAGACAAGGAGGAAATGTTTAGTCCCCTTGATTTAACCAGTAGGGGACTAATAAAATGGTGACAAAAGGTCGTGTTGACATTTTTTAATTTGATTTTAAATAAATGCAGGAATAATACGTACAGCTGATTTAAAAAAAAAAGAAGAAAAAACACTTTAGCTATATAAGTTCAAAATTGATTTATGGTCCATAGTGAGTAAAATATCCTTAAATGGCAAAACAGCAAATACATGTAAATTAACAAATACTCTTTTACGTTTTTACTGAGAAGCAAAATCTGAATTGATTTAAAAATAGGGAGTAAATAAACTTTGCACTAACAAGTAATCTGGAGCTCTTTCAGTTTATATAAACCTTAACTTACGTATGAACTTGTTAATGTTATTACATATCTATTTCTATAATCTTAAGTCTGTATGTGAAATTTGTATATTTTTGTTGTTGTTCATTAAGGAGGTTCCCTTTACCTAATTTTATTACTTTTTGTTGGTGTTCATTAAGGAGGTTTCCTTTACCTAATTTTATCACTTTTTGTTGGTGTTCATGAAGGAGGTTTCCTTTATCTAATTTTATTATTGTTATTCTTTCTAGGATATCCCAAAGAGGAGTGTCCCTGTGTACAATCTGGCCATGAAAGACATTGTAGTGTGTTGTACCAACCTTGTTAAACAAAAAAGAGTAAGCAATTTCTTATGACAACATTTTGAATAATTACTAATGGTTCTAGAAAATATACATAATGTTATCACCCTATTCAAATCCATTTTTAGATTTGTTTAAAATATCTTTAATTTCAATTTGCCTCTTTCCCTTAGTGAAGATGGGGAAGAAGGTTATGCTTAATAGGAAGTACAGTTAATTAAAAACTGTTTTTTATCAGTGAATAACAATGTTTTCCTTTTCTGTGTGAAGACGTGACGGTAAAAGGGATAATATTTATATATATAATGTATGCATATGTTTAGATCTGATATATAAAAGAAAATTTTCTATTTTTTAATTGCATGCTCGATCTAAAAAAGCATTAGTTACCTAATAACTAGATATGACTGATTTGACAACCCTTAAAAAGTGATGCACTACCATTTCACCAAGAATTTCAATTCTTGTATGAAAGTTTCCTTTTGAAACATAGAATATAATTAATATGCAACTGAAAATGTACCGTAATGGTCAAAGTGAGTTCAAAGTTTGGAGGGGGGAAATTGCATGCAAATGTTTAGGAAATGAGGGAAATTCCATCTTCAAAAGAATTTTCAGATTGATCCCCCCTTCTTTTTCCTTGAAGTTTATGAGTTTTGTTTTTTGACAGAATGAGCTTCATGAGAAGGTGGAGGCAATGGGAGGCCTAGTCAGCAGGGACCTAACACACAATGTCACTCATCTCATCGCCGGGGAAGTTGGTAGCAAAAAATACCAGGTATAGCAATGATTTATCTTCACCTACATGAATGAAGGGGAAAAATTTGTTATTACTCATATTTTAATGTATGTGCCAAAGAAAAAACTGTTTACAAATGTTTAAACCTTAATTAAATTGTGTATCATAGGACACTGTTTTCGAGCACATAGAATGAATAACTATTTGCCACAGCTTATAGGAAATCTCAGGTTCATCTCAGATTCATTTATTTGGGTTCATCATTGTTCTGTCACTTTATTTTATCTTATTTGGTTTAAATAACTTTCATTGAAAAATACTTAGGTTGCTGCTTCTACTGGCAAACAGGTTTATCTCCCTTGTTGGGTTGATAAAGTTTGGGAAGCCTCCCAGAACAAGTAAGTAGTAGTTTTTTTCCCCCATTATAACATATGTTTCACTTGATCAGTTCTGTTGGCTTAATTCTTGAGGTACATGTGTTATAACAAAAGTGGTATTGATAATAAGGTGGAATACCATCCATGTAGTTTTTTGAATTGTACACTGCAGACACATCCATGGCAGTAGTGGGGAATTCCTGGAGTACTCTTGTCCCGTCTTCAAGGGTTTAGTCATCACCGTGTCTGGCCTGGACTCGGAGGAAAGAAATCAGGTCAAAAAAGCTGTGGAAGCAGAGGGTGAGTGCATCATTGATATTGGAGACTTCTAATGATTCTCTGTGAGTGAGTGTAGAATTAAGTGATGAATTTTTATGTTTCACTGTAAAGGGAGCAGGTACACAGGTATCAGTTACGTCCCTCAGCTGTGTGGGCAATGACTCTTACAGGTGATATGTGTTAAGATGCAGTTCATTAAAAAAAATTGTTTACATTTGTAGGAGGAAAATATACGGGGGAGATGAAGGTCAATGAATGTACACATCTCATCATAAACAAACCAAAAGGTACATCTACATATCCAAAGCATTGAATTAGGAGGAGATATTCATACCAAGTATTTTACATCACTATTTAAAATAGTTAGAATAGTGATATTCTTTTAATAGTTTAATTTTCTTATAATGATCCAGAATGATCTTTCTGACAATATTTTTGAACTGTAGGTGCTAAGTATGAGTTTGCCAAGAAGTGGAAGATTCACATAGTGAAATCGGACTGGTTGTATGACTCCATTGAGAGGGGTTACTGCCTGGAGGAGAGAGATTTCTGCCTGACTCATGACAAGGAGGATGAAAAGACTGAAGTCAAAACATCGACCCCTGAGAAAGAAAACGGAAGTAGAGGTAGCATTTGTCAGTGTAGATTTTATTTTAGGTTTAGTAGATTTCTTTTCTAATAAACATACACTATTTTGTTTTCAGCCTTGGTTATTTTAATTGTAAGCATCAAAATACATTTAAGTGTTGGTTTTTTGGGAAAAGTGGCACAAAATTTGAAAACTGAAGTTTTATTAAGCTTCCCTTGCTAGTTTTTGACTTTAATTATTCCCCAATAATTATGAGGAATACTGATGTCAAATTGAAATATACCACTATTAAGGAAAAAATTATGCTCATTGAACAAAAATAAGATGAACACCTATGGTGATTTGTGTGTTTCAGTAGATAGGATGTCAACATTAGCTGATATCAGCTGTATATCAAATGTGTCAGCAATACAGACAACACATCTCAACGAGACGTCAGCCACCACACAGAACAGGAAGTCAACAGATGAGTTTGAGACAACAGTAGAGTCTATTGATCTCACCAAGTCAACATCAGATCTCTTCCTGGATGGCTGTAAGGTACAGACTCAGTGATGACCTCAGTGGAATAATGGGAGATTTATTGAAAATTGAAGTGGAAAGATAAAAAAAGATTCATGACTCTTGACAGTGAAGATAATTTAAAAAATTATATTTTCAAGAACTTAAAGGAATTAATTTGTCGTTGCAATTTCTTTTAGATTTATCTAAGTGGATTTAGAGGAGTTGCCTTAGAGAAACTGAGAAAAGTAATAAATGCTGGTGGAGCAACAAGGTAGGATACTTAAAGTTCATATGAATGTGAATTATCAATTACACTATGTATGCACTATTCACGTACATATACATGTATTCCACTACGTACATATCTGAGACTGAGCTGTACAATCTGACATTTGTAGGTTAAACACCCTGAGTGAGAACCTCACTCATGTTGTGGTTGGAGAAAGGATTGAAAAAGACCTTGAGACACTGAAAACAGCAACCTTCAGGTATGTGATATATCTCCAAAAACACCATCTGAATTATGACATTCAAGGGTGTCCTAATATGAATTCTGTGTACAGCACTGATAATTCATGTATAAATTTTATGTTTTATTTCTCTTTTTAAAAAAAAAAAATAGACCCAGGTTTCTATTTTTTTCTGTGAAAAATTTTCATAATAATTTATACCACTGACGTATTAAATTTATTTTACATGTCCTTATATTGTTTTATAGGATAGTGTACTTTATTTTTAGACCCCATGTTGTGACCCCAGTATGGATGGCAGAATGTTTTAGACAGGGCTACACTGTTAATGAAGATCCATATAGACTCCCAGAGTTCCCTCCCTTAGACCCTCAGTCACCTCATCTCAAAGGGTAGATTATTCCTCTTATGATGACAAAAGTAGTTTAGAGAGATGTTTTAATGTGCATGTAGATGAAAAAAAAGAGTGTTATTTAAGGATTTTTTAGTGTAGCTGCTTTTCAGAACAAATTCTGTATTAGCATTTGTATTCTCCGGAGTTGAAAATTATAAGTATGAATAATATGTGCATATGTGTATTTAATTGTTGAATAACACATTTATAGAATTATATGAATTCTGAATTAAATTGTATTTTGTGAAGGAAAAAAAAGTTATCAGAGGTGAAAAACAAGGATATAAAAGAGGTCAAGCATGTAGAGAATGCAGGGGCCCCAGAAGGGGATGATGAATTCTCAGACATCATGAGCCAGTATCTCTTGCAGGCAGATCAAGGTGTGTTCATATTAGCTAAGTCTCAAATCATTAGGGAAAAAACCATATTTAATCTGATGGTATGTGAATGTTTATTCAGTCCAGCACTCTATAGACATGATTTGACTGAGAGACATGTATCTGATATGTTTTTGTTTGACAGGTCCTGCGCCATCAGGAGAGAGAACTGTGATAGACAAAGCAGACGTACCTACTGTAGGAGAGGACATGACACAGAACCCTGAGGCTGAAGATGAAGGTTTGAGTTTCTTATAAGTGTAGAAAAGGAGATATTAACTTTTACTAATGAGAGATGTTTCTGTGTATTTACATGTACTAGAACTCTCTTTTTTTTATGAAATAAAATAAAACTGTTTCCTTCTCTTAGAAATGCAGGAGGAAGGGCCTGTTTTTAACAAGAAAGTTTTTATGTTCTTCGGATTTGAAGAGGAGTATGAGAAAGACATAGGAGAACACATCATAGAGAAGGGAGGTAAGAAACTGAAAAATCTTCTTCAAATGTTCTAATTTTTTAATTCACTCCCCAAGTTTAGAAAGTTTTTTCATTGTACATGTTAATTGTGATCAGTACCACCCATTAAATTTTGCTGTTCTCTTTCTACCTTGGTATATTGGATTAGGAATCATATCCAAGCCCACTAGTCGTGTTATACCAGATTATGGAGTGGTGCCTATCGATGGATTTCCTGTAGATAGGACTGTGAATGAAATTGTAACAAATGCTTGGGTGGTAAGACAGCTGATTTATTATATCAAAAAATTTTATTTCTGCTTAGACTAAGAATTTCTTTTAATTTGCATTTAGAAATGAAATTTAAAAATGATTGATATCAATGCTGTAAACTGAGTTGGAAATTGATTTTAGCTTCATTTTTATTTTTTTTTTCTCTATATACATGTACTTGTACTACCAAATAATTTCAGAGTAATCTTGTTATTTTTTTAAACACCAAGTAGCTATGCTATACTGTACTAACCTACTTACATTACTAAATATGTCATTATAATTTACTCTATGTTGATAATAAAAAGATATTTGATGTTTCATTTGTGATCATTTTTGATTTATCATTCCAGCAAATATGTTGGGAACAAGACCAGCTATTGCCTGTGACCAGTAATGTGTTGTTTTCTCCTATGGACATTAAGATGGATGACGCCCCTCTTTCAGGCTGTGTTCTCTCTGTCAGGTAAATGACCGCTTAGGTCCTGGACACCTTCTATAGTTAATGAGTCAAAATCTTGTATTTTGATAAGCTTAATGATTTTGTCCCCTTTATGGTGTTATTGAATTAAAATTTTACATTTTCAGTGGGGTTTTTTTCTCTCTTATGTAAGGTGAAAAAAAAAATTAATAACTTGGTTCTCAGGCCAGTTTTCTAAAAAATAAATGCAGGAGGGATGCTTTTTCTTTTCCTTTTTATCTCAAAAAAACAGACGCAGGATTTTTGAATTTTTTTTAATAATTTTAAACCTAGCAACTTTTAATCAACAGGCATCAATATTGAGTGTAGAATTCAAGATAATTTATTTTCTGCTTCTTTCTCTTTTTCTCTTGCATCTTCTACATTCCGATGATACATGTAATGAAACAATGGCATCCTAAACACCAGACATGTGTTAAAATTACAGAACCCAACACTTTTAATGATGCATCTGGTCAATTGCTTACATAACACAACTAATCTAAGAGTGTTTCAGCACTGTAAATAGTGCTTATGATTTTATTAAACATTGTCAAATTTATCAGTCTTTGGTTTACCCACACTAAATGTTCCAAGGTTAAGGGAGCCGTCTTTGATAGGATATTAATCGAGTTCTAGTGTGGAAAAACCTTCAGAAACCCCCACTTTGTATCATGGAAGTGTTACAGTTATTCTCTTGTGAATTTGCACTGAAATCAATGCCATCATGACTAAACTTAATCTTGACGCCTTATCCTGTTAACTCGACAACCATATTTGCAATTTTTAACTAGGCCAATAGTCTGGATCATCTTGATGTTTGTCAAACATTTTACTGATTTCTAAAATGCAGTCAAAATGCGGTCATGAATTCCCGATTTTTAGCTCACCTGAGCCGGAGGCTCAAGTGAGCTTTTCTGATCACTTTTTGTACAGCGTCCGTCTGTCTGTCTGTCCGTCTGTCTGTCTGTAAACTTTTAACATTTTCGACTTCTTCTCAAGAACCACTGGGCCAATTTCAACCAAACTTGCCACAAAGTATCCTTGGGTGAAGGGGATTCAAATTTGTTAAAATGAAGGGCCACGCCCTTTTTCAAGGGGAGATAATAAAGAATTAGTTAAAAATTAATAGCATCTTTTAAAAATCTTCTTCTCAAGAACCACAGGGCCAGGAAAGATGAAACTCAGGTGGAAGCATCCTCAGGTAGTGTAGATTCAAGTTTGTTCAAATCATGACCCCCGGGGGTAGGGCGGGGCCACAATGGAGGATCAAAGTTTTACATAGAAATATATAGGAAAAACCTTAAAAAATCTTCTTCTCAAGAACAGCAAAGCCATAATGAGTCATATTAATATAGAAGCATCCTCAGGTAGTGTAGATTCAAGTTTGTTCAAATCATGACCCCCGGGGGTAGGGTGGGGCCACAATGGAGGATCAAAGTCTTAAATAGAAATATATAGGATAATATCTTGGAAGCATCCTCAGGTAGTGTAGATTCAAATTTGTTCAAATGATGACCCCTGGGATAGGGAGGAGCCACAATGGGGGATCAAATTTTTACAAAGAAATATATGGGAAATTTTTTTCTTCTCAGGTACAAGAAAGCCATTTGTTATATTGACATGGAAGCATCATCAGGTAGTTTAAAATTCAAGCCCCCCCCCCCCCCCCCCCCCCCCCCCCCGGTGGTAATCTTTTCAATACTGAACTGATTTGTGCTTTTGCCTAGCCAATGTGCTCAGGTGAGCGATGTGGCCCATGGGCCTCTTGTTTTTTTTGGCACCGCACGAGCGCATGAGAGAAATTTTATTTTCTTCGTTTGAGGATAAAAATGGGTAATGCGCATTGTTGAATGAGATGCGGGCAGGCCTGAGATACAAGTTATTAATTTTCCTAGGCCTAACTGGTACTGATAAATGGAATCATTTCAATGCCAAAAAACATTGATTTTTCCCAATTTTGAGACTAAAAATTCCCTATTGAAACTAAAAATTTTTACTTCTTTGTAAATCAACAGTAGAGATCAGTTGTAATAGCGAGACTTGTTGTAGACACCCTAGTGTCTGTCATCATGGACAACATGAAATCTTGAAAATATGAGGACAAGAGATATTGATATGTAAAACAATGAAACCTTATTGTTAATTCTTTAAAATGTGGATTAATAGTGAAGAGTTTAGAATTTTGTAATAAAAACATCATTTGTTGCTATAGAAAATTCCCAATTTCTTCTATTTTGACACTATTGTTTCCAATTGAATCGGTTTCAGAACCATTCTCATTGGGTAAAAAAAATCGCTGTTTTTATGATTTGAATGTGTTAACCCATTTGTAGTGGTTTTGCTGGGACAGAGAGAGATTGTCTGATGCATATCTCTGAACTCCTTGGTGCTGAGTAAGTACAGAATTTATTATAATGAATGTTGTTTTTGTACTGATTTTGAAGTACCGTATATACTCGCCTATAAGTCGGTTTTTTGGGAGTTAACTTTTGGTCCATAACTCTATGTCCGACTTATAGGCGAGTCACCAAAAGCTTGGTATTTTTCTAGACAACGAAATGTAGTATTTTTAACATAACTTCGACGATCATCGTTGAAAAATGTCTGGACGTATTATATTATTTATGTATTCTAAGATTATATATAAAGTACAAGTATTTACATGTTTTAATGATTTTATTTTGATCTTAAGTGTATATTATTTATTTGATTAATTATAAAAAAAAAAAATATTTCTTTAATCAACTTGTGACTCACTGTAAATCTATCGTTTGTCGGTAAAATTGAATTGCAAACCCGATATACCAGTAATACATTCAGCATTAATGTATAATTATATGTACCGTCTGCAATGTTTTTGACGACAGAAATAATATTCTTAAAAAATAATTCAGAATATTATTCTGGGGCTATTAAAACTCGATTGTTTATGAATGAATATTCCCATGTGTAGTACACGATTTTCTCGGGCGCGTGCCACTAAATAAACACGGTGTCAGGTAAGGGATACAGGTAATTAAGAGACAGTAATTGCTAATAAAAGATCAAACATAGCGTTATTATAAACAATAGATATGGCTTGGACATTGAGCACCTCCTAACTAAATATCATCAAAATGTTACTAGCCTCGTTACATAGTTCTTCACCATGCCAAAGAGACCGAGATCCGCCTATGATCGAGATCGGTGTATAAAATATACAAGACAAGGAATTTAAAGCTTAAGCAAAACAGTATAAAAAAGAAAACTAAAATGGTAGTGGTTTGGTTTGTGGAAAAATAAAAATATTAATTACCGATGTCATATCCTAACATATTATTTGAACACAGGTAAATACATTAGAGTATTGATATGAAATTTATAAGAGAAGACAAAAGAGAGATAAAATATCGGCGTAATTTCTCAAAATATTATTTGAAACACATGTTAAAACATTAGAGCATTGATTTGAAATTGTCCACCAATCCTGACAAAAAGTTGTACCGACTTATAGGCCGGTCAATGGCAAATACCTCCCAAATAACCTCAAAAAGCACAACTGACTTATAGGCGGACCGACTTATAGGCGAGTATATACAGTAAACATTTGTTCTATATCATTTTGAAAAGAACATGATTCTCATTAAATGTGAAAGCAGAAAACTTATATAAAACCTACAAATTACATATACATGTAGTTCTTTTCACATGAGTCAATGTGCCTACTTTTTATAGATTTCAAGAATACTTTGTTCGTAAAGCCAACAAAGATTTAAAAGCCAGCACTCACCTGGTTGTAAAGGAAGCAGAAGGTTCCAAATATCAGGCAGCCAAAAAATGGAATATTCCAGCCATCTCCAAGAGGTGAGCTTACTATATGTATATGTACAGTATACATGTACATGTATATCTGAAGCAGAAATAACATATATATCATTTTAATAACAATATTTTGTCTAGTGCATACCAGTGCAATACTCTGAAATCACATATTTGTGTGGGGTCAAATTTTGGAGGTTTGAAGACAAAAATAATGGTTTGGGAAGATTTTATTTTGTGCTTAGGGGAAGTGTCAAGTAGTTAAGTTTATGAAATTTTACATTTGGTGATGGACATGAATTTATGGGTCTCTTCATACCTCAAAAACAACAAAATTTAACCCCAACCCCCACAAAAATAAGTGATTTTACAGGAATATAAATATTGTGATGTGCTTTTAAAAGGTGGCTTTTCAAGTGTGCCAAATCTGGAAAAAGAGAACCAGAGGAAAATTTCTTGATAGAAAATGAGCCAACAGAATCTCAGGATCTCACCACAAGTGTTCAGACATCCATCACTAATGCTCAAGACAGCAATGCAAACAATAGTCATCAAAAAACTGCCAATGGAACAGCTCAAACAAACAAAGCCGAGAGTATTCATCAAAATCAATCAAGCCTCATGAACCAAAGCACAGCATGTGATAATGTAGAGAATCCACAGGAAATGGAATGTGACAATTCAGTGAATGTGCCTCCTGACCAGGGGCAAATCACTCTAAATACCAGCGTTACAACTGACAATGATGTGGAGATGAATGCAGAGGAGGAAAAATCAAAGGGTGGATCTAAGGAAAAATCAGAGGTGTGGGAATCTGGCATGGAGACAAATCAGGATGATCTGTTGATGTTAGAGATGGATGCACAGGGAGGAAGCAGGAGAGGGTCTTTGAGGAGTGAGGATAGGAGGGGCTCTCTGAGGGGTGGGAGAGACACAGAACTCCCAGAGAGTCAGAAAGAAAACATGGCTGCCATGAAGACACCAAAACTGACCAACCAAAGGGTTAAGGTTTGTATTTATAACAATATAAAATATATGATGGCTCTAACGATACTCATCACATTAAATCAAAAGAATTTCTTTCTATGTTCAGATAGAGACTTGAGACTAAACCAACTAATGAAATAATAAATATTGTCATTGTGCATGATTTGTGAAAATAAGATCTATTTCTTAAACCTTTGTACAGAGATTTTATCGTTAATTTTCAGGAGCTGAAAACAGAGAGGGAAATGCCCCGAAACTCACCCCGACACGAAAGTCTCGATGAGTCCACAGGACCTCTTGATCTAGACAAATCTTTCCACCCACGCTTTGATTTCTCTGTAAGTCTCTTGATCAGCTGTCAGATACGAAGTAGGAGTCATTGTTTGGTGCCTTTGGTACAATTCTTCGAAATACAGCCAAATATGTATCTTTATGTTACATGTGTTACACAGACCTGCCTACCTTTTTGCTTTTGGCATTTTTCTTCTGTTTTTTATCACTAAATTATGCTGTTATGCTATTTAAATCAATTTTGTGCTTTTAAAATGTTTTGCTTAAAATTGTATTTTTTTAAGAATTTTTTTTATGAACGACTATCTTTGAGTTTCAATATACTTATGAGTTATGTGCAGATGAGAAGATCAGTAAAATGCTTTACAAATGTAGGGGGCCTCAAGATTTTATAATGATGTATGCTGTGAATACCACCTAAAGACTCTGAATTATTTGCGTTTATTATCTGATGATAGAATGCTGATGATTTACTATGCATGGAATTTATGCCCTTAAATGATTTGAAAATATTTTTTTTTTACTTCTTTTATACAGACATACAAATTTAGACTTTAATACTGGTATTTAAAGTATATAGAATCACAATACAGCATTGAAATAGAAAAGTTTATAAGGATTACACTTGTGCCTCTGAAATTCCACCAAAATTAGGTTTTTGATTGAACTTCTGCAAAATAAAGGGTAGGCAGGTCTGGTTACGCAGGTATAGTAAAAGAGCTAATTGATGATAACACTAGATACATTGCTGTTTGTAGGATGTGTTGAAGGACTTGGAAACCCCGGAGGGGCAGAAGGGCAAGACACGGAAGTTAGGAAGGAGAAAGTCCAGTGTTGTAAGTACATCTCATATGCTGCTTAAACATGAGAAAAGAGAATAATTACTTTAAAAATTCCACACTAGTCTGTCACCTGTTTGAGTTGTATGTATATTATGTGAATAACAATAACATGGTTTTAATCACTACAGCCCTTTTACGAGTTGTTTGAGGCTGCGGTCCATGGTATGGCCAAATTTACGGAAGAGTACAAAGCGCCAGAACCTACAGATGAAGTGCATGGAACCTGCAGCAGCAGTAATCAGGTTTGTCACATTCTTACTTTCATTACATTTACAAAAATCTTGAAGACAGATGATACAAACAAACATTTTTTTAAAAAATCCAAAAAAAAAAATTACAATTAAATCTGTGATTTAATTAAATGTAAAATGAATAAGTTTAGTTGCACACAGTTTCATTTTTCATTAGAAGTTTCTCAGTAATGTCCTATAAATTGATAAAAAATCATATAGATTTATAAGGGTATAATGACAAAAGGAAGGAATTGGAACACCATAGAAAGTATACAATTTCTTCATATTTTAGAGATTTGAAATATATATATATTTATATGCATCATTTGCAACCAAAACAAGCATTTTGAGAGTATTGCATTAGCAATACTAGTCCCCTACCGGCAAGTGTAATCTGGTTCCCGTTAAAAATTGAAAATGCCGTAATTCCGTCAAAAATCAATGAAACGGAACAAAATCAAAACTTGATCTATAACTCATCGAGGTAAAGTCACATACCAAAAATCAGCTCAATATCTGCAAGCGTTTCGAAAAAAATTGCGGAAAACCCTGAAAAATTGAAAAGGTCCTAATTCCATCAAAAATCATTGAAGCGGAACGAAATGCAAACTTGATCTGTAACTCATCAAGATACACTTATATACCAAAAATTAGCTCAATATCTGCAAGCGTTTAGAAAAAAAGTGTGGAAAACCAAAGTGGACAGACAGACAGAGGGTTAGACGGACGGACGGACAGACTCAGAGGAAACCTATAGTCCCCTCCAGTTTCACCGGTAGGGGACTAATATCTACAAAAACTAAAAGCTCCACGCATCCAGTTTTTTTGTTTGTGTCCTTAAAATACAATTTCTTAGGAAAATTGCTTTACTTGTCAGCATACTGATTCTTGAATTCTTCTTTTCTAAATACTTACGTGTACTAATGAATAAGTAAGAGTGACAATTTTTACCTTAGTATATGACAAGACCCCTGAAGGGAGTGACGATCTATGTCAGTAAGAAACTGAGTGGCCAACAGGCGGAGCTGAACAACATCGTGGAGGATCTGGGTGGCAATTATAAATGGCAATACGATGCCACAAGTACACACTTTATATTCCAGGTAGGGGGCACCTGCTTGTTTTAATTGGAGAGCTTGTATTTCTCTTTGTATTCATGCAAAGTTTATTTCGGACCTTTTGCTACTATAATTTGTAGCATATTAAACTAATGAAAGCTATAGCTTTATATAACTTGAATAATAATAATAAAAGATAACTAACATTGTCTGGACTATAGTGATGCACTAGTAAGATGATACAGATTAATTGAAAGGTGGTTATGGGAAATTAACATTTTTGATATTTGAATCGTTATAGGGAAAGACAAATGACACCACCAAGGAATTCAGAGTGGCCAGAGAACAGAAGAAAATCATTGTTTCTCCCCTCTGGATTCAAATGGTAGGAACATTTTTGATTTAAGCTTATCATATCTTGGATGGCTGTGTGCAAGCATTTTTGCTATAAACTCTTTAGTTCTCTACTTACAGTAAATGCCTCATTTATAATGTAGCAAAATTCATCCTCAGGACTACATTCCTGTAAAAATCATTTGAGGGGTTGAATGCCAAATAATGTTAATGTGGATTGTTAACTCTTATTGGAGAGGAAAGATGATTTATTCATTGCAGAAGGGAGTGGGGGGTCTAGGCCTTTGAATTCATGGTTCAGGTCCTAGGGTAGAGATAAGTTGGTCAAAGATTGAAAATACATTACATCTCTGAAAATCTGCTATACTCATGAGCATTAAGCAGGCAGACTGTTTCCATGCTTATACATTTAATAAATGAATACTAAATGCCCTCTTCCAAAATTGTAAAATACTTGGCCCCATTGACAATGGTATGGGCAGGGCTAAGTTGGTCATACATTGAAAACTCATTACATCTTTGAAATTTTTTTTTCATTACTCATCAGAATCTTTAGGTACATTCATTTGTAAATTTTTGCATAATTATACAAAAATTATGAAATTATTGCCTTCTGAATTGTCTGTCTATAAATCAGCATTGTTTGTTGTAGTGTAAAGAACAGAATGCCAGAGTAGATGAATCTTTGTTTCCACACAATTACAATCCAAATCTTACATTGGTGAGAGATTTTATTACTTAGATGAATTATGCTGTTTAATGTATCAATTTATAAATCATATAGATTATCAGTATGTTTTTTAGCTCACCTGAGCCGAAGGCTCAAGTGAGCTTTTCTGATCACATTTTGTCTGTAGTCCGTCTGTCTGTCCGTCTGTCTGTGTAAACTTTTCACATTTTCGACTTCTTCTCAAGAACCACTGGGCCAATTTCAACCAAACTTGCCACAAAGTATCCTTGGGTAAAGGGGATTCAAGTTTGTTCAAATGAATGGCCACGCCTTCTTCCAAGGGGAGATAATTATGAATTCGTGAAAAATTAATGGCATCATTAAAAAATCTTCTTCTCAAGAACCACTCTGCTTGAAAATATGAAACTTATGTGGAAGCATCCTCAGGTACTGTAGATTCAAGTTTATTCAAATCATGACCCCCGAGGCTCAGGTGGGGCCACAATGGGCGATCAAAGTTTTACATAGGAATATATGGGAAAAATCTTTAAAAATCTTCTTCTCAAGAACAGCAAAGCCATGATTGGTCATATTTACATGGAAATATCCTCAGATAGTGTAGATTCAAGTTTGTTCAAATCATGACCCCCGGGGGTCGGGTGGAACCACAATGGACGATCAAAGTTTTACATAGGAATATATGGCAAAAATCTTTAAAAATCTTCTTTTCAAGAACAGCAAAGCCATGATTGGTCATATTTACATGGAAACATCCTCTGGTATTGTAGATTCAAGTTTGTTCAAATCATGACCCCCGGGGGTCGGGTGGGGCCACAATGGATGATCAAATTTTTACATTGGAATATATAGGAAAAATCTTTAAAAATCTTCTTCTCAAGAACAGCAAAGCCATGATTGGTCATATTTATTTGGTAGCATCCTCAGGTAGTGTAGATTCAAGTTTGTTCAAATCATGACCCCCGGGGGTCGGGTGGGGCCACAATCGGCAATCAAAGTTTTACATAGGAATATATAGGAAAAATCTTTAAAAATCTTCTTCTCAAGGTCAGCAAAGCCATGATTGGTCATATTTATTTGGTAGCATCCTCAGGTAGTGTAGATTCAAGTTTGTTCAAATCATGACCCCCGGGGATAGGATGGGGCCACAATGGGCGATCAAAGTTTTACATAGGAATACATAGTGAAAATCTTTTTAAAAAAACTATTTCTTAAGAACAGCAAAGCCATGATTGGTCATATTTATATGGAAACATTCTTAGATAGTGTAGATTCAAGTTTGTTCAAACATGACCCCTGGGGGTAGGGTGGGGTCACAATGGGTGATCAAAGTTTTACATAGGAATATATAGGAAAAATCTTTAAAAATCTCCTACTCAAGAACAGCAAAACCATGATTGGTCATATTTAAATGGAAGCATCCTCAGGTAATGTAGATTCAAATTTGTTCAATTCATGCCCCCCCCTCCCCCCCAATCACTTTATATTCAAACTTTTCAACCTTTCAAGACTGAACTGATTTCTGCTTTTTCCTAGCCATAGTGCTCAGGTGAGTGATGTGGCCCCTGGGCCTCTTGTTTTTTAAGGCGATGGTGAAGAAAGCCACCCCAGGAAGAGGTTCTCCGGTGAAGTCTAACAGAAGCACTCCTCAAAGGGCAACACTAAGGTCAACTCGGACAAGTAAACAATCCGAGAGCTCGGATATTGATGATGTGCCAAAACCTTGCAGTCCAACAACGGTGACTAAAATTTCTGAATCTGGACAGAACAAGAGGAGTGGAGCAACTTTTCCTGAGTCTGACAATAAACGACAGAGAATATCAACAGACAGTGAAACTGAGTCTACAGAGAAGAAAGTGGCTGAAGAGGTTGGATTTTTCTTATTTTTTCAGTTGATTTATGAAGAGGAAATGTCAATCACCTCTACGTATATAATCATCTAACACATACTGTAAACCAACTTTATTCGTGTGCGAGAAATTTCTGCAAGTTTTGCGACCTACTTAAACTTGTGAATATTAATCGCATCAAACCATTTGTTTTGCTTTGTATTTGTAGAAAATGTTTCCTCAATCGTGAAAATTAATTGCCGTGGATTGATTTCAAACTGACAAATTGTGAACAGTAGTTGGTTTACAGAAATAACTTGGAAACAAACTTGAATCAAAGTTAAAATAACACTAGCGTTTCATCAGTAAATAATTTTAAAGTTTGGATTACTTTCATTAAATCAGTAGAGGAATATACAGTTATTTGTATCATGTCCTCTACAGGAGCCAGAGGTGGTGGAGATGGCAGGTACCCTGGATTACAGAGAAGAACTGGCCAAACAACTAAAGGAGGACATGGCTGTCCAAAAGTAAAGCTTAGCTAACCCAGAATCGGTCTAAGTGTTCTTTTTTGAAGATTGATTTTAGTCATAAGTTCTAGTTTATCTACCAAATGGGATTGCTTAGAGTGTTAAGGGCTATTCCAGTAAAAATGATGTGAGGGGGATGGAACACCACTGATTTTTAGACCCCCAACCCCCCACTAAGAGAATTCAGTTTAAGAAAGTAAATCATCCAGAAATAATAATAATAATAATAAAAAAACACCACCACCCCCCTTCCCAGAAAAAAAATTAAAATGGCATCCCCCCCACCCCCTTAAACATTTTTTTTAAGGAAGAGCCCCAATTTTTAGTTTGCACTAGTAAATTTTTATTGATATAAATTGAATCTAATAAGTTTTACATTTATTGTTATAAGTGAAAAACATGTGTATATGATAAATGTATATAATTTTTTTTTTTTAGAAAAAGAAGAAAAAGTAGGAAACTCAATTGTAAGTAAATGCATTGTTGCTTCTAGGAAATGTAAACTTAAAAACTATTTATGGATTACATATATGGCAAATGGTACAGAAAACTCCAACTTCTTTAAGTCAAAGAAATGCATGGTTTAAATGAAGGTGATTTACATGTGTTTCAAGATATTATAGTATTATATAGTGACGGAATGAGATTGTTTGCAGCCAGTGGTCAAATGAACATGTCTGGGGAAGGCTCAAGTAATGACAGTGGGATGCAGCGCCCAGGGTCAAGGGCTAATCGCTGGAGTATGAATGAGGACCAAAAGACAGAGGCTACAGTAAAGGAGGGTTCCCTCCCTGAGTCCTCCCAGACTGTCCATGTGATGTGGGATGACCCCACAGGGAGACTAGAACAGGAGCGACTAGCCCACAAACTACAGAGGGCATGCAGTCCCACCCAGGACCTCAACAACTTACAGGAGATGATGGACGCCCAGTTCTCAGATGTTGAGGAGGAGGAGGACCCAGTACCTCAACTTCCCGAGGTAAGGTTTTCTTGTATGAATTATGTATTACAAAAATACAGCAGATTCATCCAGTTATACCAATATTAAATCATGATTTTTAAATGCAAATTAATAAAATGATCTATGAATTTTTTTTTTAGTTCAAAATTTTTTTCACATTTTGTTTTGTAGAATGAACCAGACAGAAGATTATCCTCACCCCAGGCACCCCATGTCGGTATGAATTATTAATTTTGTATAATCAATTAAATAAGCAGATTTACAGAGGGTTCTTGTATGTAGGGGTGCAGCGATACACTAACCTCACGATACGATACGTATCACGGTATTCAGTTCACGATACGATACATATCATGATACATAACAAGGTTAAAAAGTCTTTCAAGTTTTTCATCATATTTTTTTTTAAACTTGACAGGGTTATACAAAATATTCATATTTTTTAATAATAATTAAAATAACATTTTGTTAACTTGAATTGGATTGTTAGGTAGATCTTTGAGTTGTGTCAACATTCTAAACCAATGATGAACATTTACAGGGACCACGGGGACCTTTCCTAATAATCTTCCTTTTAAATTGGAATGAAAAAGGAAGACATTCTTTTATTCCTTTTATTTATGTAGAAAACCAGTTGTCATATTTCTCGTGTTAATACGTTTCAGTCAACAAGACAGCGAATTTTCATCGAAATACACACGTGATGGAATATCGTGTATTACCAAAGAATACGTTGAGATCTAAAGGGTTTATCATTTGTCTTAACATCTATAACTCATAATCACATTAAGTCCCTCTCCGTGTTAAATCTGAGGTCTGTAAGATGCTGGAGATGAGTTTAACTGCCGTAAATGCGTTATCGGCGACCTCACGTTTTGCGCAGAAGCCATTTTGAAATAGTAAAGAAGGAAATAGAACGGACAAAGTGGATAATTTTGGACCGATTGAACCAAACCGTGATATCAATTTAGCGTGTCGTGAATTGAACCCTGGAAAAATATACCGCGATATACCGTCAAACGGTTTATCGTTGCACCCTTACTTGTATGTCACCTATAGTGTATCCAAGGGCAAACATCTATAATGAATTTCACAGAGGCAAATTATTGTAGGCACTGCTATATAAAATTAAACATTAACAAGCAGTGTATGAGGAATAAAATAAAACTGCAACAATTAATAGAGTAGGTTCAAACTTTGCTTCAAATATTATAAAATGTACGGTACACAAAATGAATAATTTACAGTGCAGATAACTTTTGTGACTTAAAAAAACTTATTGTATTTGTAAGAGAGGATAACATTCAGTGACCAAAACCTGAAATACATGTTTTGTGTAAGAACAAAATATTACAACTTAATCTCACTATTGTGATAAATGCACAGTTGTACTTCTGGTGTGTTATTAGAATCCATAGTATAGATGATCAGAGTGAATATCTTTTGGGAGTCGGGTTTTCTTTTATGCAGCTTTCCATAAACAATCTGAGCAGACAGTCCCCTCCCCTCAGCCTGTGAATTTAGAGGAGGAGAAGGGAGGAGAGGAGACAAAATCGACCCCACCCATCTTCATTTTGTCAGGCTTGTCTAAAGAGGTATGTTTCTATTTGTTCACTACTTTTGAAAAAAGTGCAGGTTGACATGTTGCAATTTTTTTTGGAATATTAAAACTTCAGTGTGTTTATATTGCATTTTCACTTCTTGAAGGAAAGAGATGATTATGGAGTTTTAGTAGAGAGCCTTGGTGGCAAAATGTTGGATGGACAAAATTTTGACCCATCCTGTACCCATTTGGTTACTGGTGAGTAACAAAAAGTACAATGTATTTCAAAATTGTTACTTGTGTGCATGATTTTTTTTTGTTTTGATTTCTTGAGAAATTTAAAATGCATAAAGATTTAAATACATTTATAAATTATTTTAAAAACTAGTTTTCATGTAAGAAATGAGTGACATTTCTGAATTTTGCAGGTGTTCCGGCAAGAAATGAGAAATTCCTAGCCTGTGTTGCCTCTGGAAAGTGGGTTTTACACAAGTCCTACTTTGAGGCTTGTAGACAAGAGGGCAAGTTTGTACAGGTGGGACATCATCTAATTGTAATATACAAAATGTATTGGAGAAAAAGAAACCACAGTTGAACTTTGTTATCTCAAACACTGATCTCATGTACATGTATACCAGAGATAAGTTGGAAGTGATTTAGTAGTCCCAACCACTTTTTATCTTTTTTTTTTAAAACCTTTTTATCTCAAATCTTCACAGATATCTCGAAGTTTAATCTCAGTCCCGTCAAGTTTGAGATGATGAGGTTTGACTGTACTTGTTTACTTTTTCCTTGATTAAATAATCTGACATTAACATAAGTCAAATTCATAAACCTCTTTTTCATCAGTGTTGTAAATGTATATGTATATAGTATAACATATGGTGTAGCTGGAGTTTTTACATTCACCTCTGTTTTCTGTTGACAGGAGGATTTCTATGAATGGGGTGGAGATGGAACAGCCAGCTTGCTTGGAAAGATGAATCCAGCAGTTAGAAAGCTCTGTGAAGCTGCCCATCGATGGAGGCTAATGATCAATTCCCCCTCACAGGTTACAGTCCTCTGTTTTTACTTCTTTGTTCTCTGTTTTTATACTGTAACTTTAGATAGTGTTTCATCTTACAAAATTAAGAAAAATGAAAGTATCTACACTATTGATGTCAATGAGTATTTGAGTACCGGTACTCTACCACTGTTCTGTAATATGACTATCAACCAAGTATTTTTCAGTTGGTTATCATTAAGTATGAGTTATTTAATAGTAATTCTTAATTCAAGTTCATAAATTGAAAGAATTTTCTGGAGTAGAAATGAGCCATTGTATTTAATTTAATTGTATTAGGTAAAATATGAAGTTAAAGAAAATTGAATTTAAACTAGTATGAGAAAAAATATTGAGTACTTGACTATCACTCAACTAAACCCCTAATTATCCCTTTACACTATACCTGTGAAATTGACATCCCTTTATATCTACGCAGATAGTTTAAGGACAATTTTCTCAATGCTAGTTCTCCTTTATTCACTAGTCTTGTATTGGAGCCTTCAGTGACTGGAAAGTGGTGCTGTGTACCGACCGTAAGAAGGAAGACAACTTCCGTAGACTTCTAGAAGCAGGGGGAGCCACTGTTCTTACCATTAAACCACCCTTTCATAAACCTGTGTCAGCCAGTCATGCATTTTTAGAACTGAACAAAGTGGAAATGTCGGAGGATGATATTTCTACCCTGGTGAGGTCAGGGGTCATATGTATAAAACCCGATTTTATTGCATCTCACCTCACCAACAGTCCACCACCAAATCCAGAAGATTTTTGTCCATCAGAGGTCAGAACGCTCTTAAAGAGGTAACTTATTTTTTGGTCTTTGCTTAGAATGATGAATATTCAGTGTTTTTTAATAGACCATAACTTTCCTTTGGATACATAATGGAAATATTAGTTTGAATAAAAACATTATTAGATTTTATGTAAACTTTTAGAAAAGTTCATGTATTTGATTGAGATCATATGATGAAATGGTAATAGTACTGAACAGATAAAGGCAGGTTTTTATTTTATTTTTCAACAGTCTCTCTGGAAAGAGGAAACTCTCTTCATCAGATGACACTCGTAAAAGACCAAGAAGATGATGAGCGATAATTCATTATTTTTCACAATCATGAAAAGATTATAGAAATGTGACTGTTCTGATATTGAATGTATTTTTAAATCCTGAAAAAAGTGCTGGTGATAGCTACTGTGTAGAAATAGATAGAATAATAAGTAATGAAAAGAATGTCTGAAGCATTTTAAGATGAGCATGCATGAAGATCGATGTCCAGTCAATAGTATCTCCATATCAACAGTTTTGTGTTTGATTTTTTAATGATTTGAATATCTATGAAGAAATTGTGTTCATATATCTGCATAGGAAAGTCTACTATGAATCTATTCTGATGAATAAAATAATGATATTTTATGTGTTCTTAAGATTAAATAAAATAAGAGGAAAATGTTGAAGCTCTTTTTATGCTCTTGCCTTGAAATGTCCAGGGAACATAGTAATACCCCCTTTTCTTCCTTTATTCAGTTCATTCCGTCTTCTGTCAAAGTTAGTTTTCCAGACTTTTTTCACTGTGCATAAAGATAATGAGTGCCTACTACAGATCAATTACCACAATATTACAAAAGTTATATCCTTTATATATCTTACATATACTGAAACGCAAAAGAAACGCAACAAGCAGTAATCTACAAATATTTGAATTTTTTATGCCCCGCCATGAATATGGCCGGGGCATATAGTGTTTGTCATGTCCGTCTTCCGTCCTTCCATCTGTCCTTCCGTCACACTTTGCGTTTAGCTCTGTTCAAAGCTCAGTTTCAAAGAAACTATCCGAGATGTTTTTATCAAACTTCATATGCTGATAGATATTGATGAGAGCTATGCAACTGCATCAACATTTTTTGGCCCTGACCTTTCCTTTGACCTTGACCTCACTTTTCTTAAATTAGTGTTAAGCCCAGTTTTAAAGAAACCATTCATAATATTTTTATCAAACTTCTTATGCTAATACATACTGATGTAACCTTTTCAACTGCATCAACAATTTTTGACCTTGACCTCACTTCTTAAATTTGTGTCAAACTTCATATGCTGATACGTACAAATGTAAGCTATTCAACTGCATCAATATTTTTTCAACTTGACCTTTCCTTTGACCTTGACCTCACTTTTCTCAATTTGTGTTAAAATGTTGCATTACTGATATACCCTCGGCGGGGCATTCATGTCCTATGGACATATTTTTAGTTATGTAATGATTTTCAAAAATGAATACAGTAAGGTAAAACTCGATTTAAAAACATCAGAGATTTGATAAAAATGTTAAATGATTATCTTTTAACTTTAGAAAGTAACACATGACTGTTAAAACAGCCCCCACCCCGGCCATTCAATTATTGCGTGCAAGACTGTCATGCACAAAAGTTGCAGCTTGATTTCTACGATGCAGTAGGTTCATCAATCTCGAGATCTGAGCGAAAGAAATATTGATGATGAGGTCGAATTTTCTCTAGCCAAGCGGATTGTAGTACTGTAACCCTTGGGCTTCCGGTCCAAGGAATGTCATTCATGCTAATTATTGGAGCGTGATGTGGATCATGTTTGCATCTGCAACTCGCCATCATCTTTATTTTGATATTTTCCAGCTGGAGCAATGGAAATGCGTACTTATGTCATTTCCTGAAGGAAGCCTTGGCATCGCTTACGGAAAAGAAAGGAGAATTTATTTTTCGGAACATTGCTGCATTACTTATGATGAACAGATACAAATCATTAAAACCCCATATTATTGCCAAATGTTTTATTAAACATGCAATTTTTGATTTCTGTTAAACGGACTCAAACTTAACTTCCGGTAATGGTATGAAAATCATTCAACAGTTAAATTACCGATATTTACTAAGCTGAAGATGTTCTTACTCTTTAGATACAAAATTATATCCTATATGTAATATCCCCCCCCCAAAAAAAATAGGATTTTGCGTTTCAGTATATATATATATATATATATATATATATATATATATATATATATATATATATATATATATATATATATATTAGGGATGTCAACGAATATTCGAGTACTCGACTATCGTTCGATCATACCGACTATCGAGTAAAACTTCTTTAGTCGGTTATTCGTTAAAAATGTGTTACCTGAGAGTAATTTTAAATTCAAGGTAATAAACTTGGATTCGCCCATTTCATTTATATACAGATCATTGTTCTTGTAAGTAAAACTCAGGGTATGGTTTAACTGTTCAAAGGAAATTATTTGTATGTCGATTTATGTGCGGCAAATATGCCTTAAAAAATCTACAGTTTTTGGAATACTTTAAAGGATTTTAGGATGGAAAAACAATTAAAAGTACTTTTTCAAGGTTATGTGAAACTGAACTTGTATTCTGCAGTGGAACATCAAATATGATGTATCATATGCAGAATCCGTCAAACGTACATATAGTAAACACAATCTTCAACTGAAACTTTTCTTAGGTAAGTTCTCCGCAAAATGCCCAAAAAAGCAGAGCCGGAAAGAAAAATGTTGCTATCACAAACATGATTATCAAGGATTGTCTACCACTTATTGTTGTAAATGGAGAGGACGTTCAAGAATTGTTTGGTTTTGTATATTCAAATTATAAAGTTTCAACCTGCAATTCCATAAGATCTGACGTAATGCAACTATTCATAAAGAATAATTAAACAGCTGTTACAAAATTGTAAAGACATGTAAATTGGGGGACAGTTATGAGCGTAATTAAATGGTGTTTCTTTCTGATATCAATATCATGCAGTCATTTTAAGATTGTATTGATTGTGTGCACAAAATCTCATAACTAAAATTAATCGCAAGCTCTCTCTGTTTTTATGAGGCACGCTTTAATTGTTTACCAGTCACAGGTCTGTCACGACACATAGAAATGGCTTCAGTTAATGGGTACATGTACTATCGTTATGAAAAGAAAGGACAAATGCAAGCGTTTGATATCCTGCATTTAGATAAAATGTGCAGAAAATATTATATTAATTTTGAAATCAAATACATTGGATAAATGTAGATGTACAGTATTTATTGTACACTGTACTACGACTCAGAAATTCGTTGTATAATGGTGATAGCGTAGGTTTAATATTGTACAACTAGTCTATAAAAGACAAATAGTGAAAATGACATGAAAAATTAATTTAAATTTCAACGAATATTCGACTATCGTTCGACTAAAGCCTCCTACTATTCGACTAAGCTGTTCGAATAAAATTGATATCCCTAATATATATATATATATATAGATTTATATCCTTTGAAAATGTCCGTAAAACCTAGCTGTCCTGTCATCTGCCAAATTGGGCATTAAACAACAAGGATCAGTCATTGTTATTCACAGGATAAGAGATGCAACCCAACTCAGAATATCCTATTATATACATGTATACATATACATGTATAGTTTTGAATCTGCATGTACACTTATGAAGAGAATAGTCAGCAAATGAAAATCAAAAAATAAACCAAGGTTCATAATCTACTACATTACTGGCAACCAATTCTTATTTTTGACCTTGTATACATATAAACTTACACAGATACCTATTTGTTGTGAGCCTTGACTTTAATAATTATTGTTCATTTCACGTTTACCCTAATGTTAAAGAAACTGTTTGATTGATTGATTGTATGTTGTTTTACGTCCCGTTCGAGGATTTTTCACTCATATAGAGACGTTACCGTATACCTGCGAAGGGCTTCAAAATTTAGATCTTTACTCGGCACTCAGGGCCATTGAGCAGTGAGAGTTCTTTATCGTACCAATGCCTACCGTGACACGGGGCCTCGGTTTTTTAGGTCTCATCCGAAGGAGCCGCAACTTTCACTTCAAAGTGCCGAGCGCTTGGCGAAGGAACAGTTGCTACCTATTTTTTTATTGACTTAGGTCAGTCGCGGCCGTGCTTCGAACACACGACCTTCCGATCACGGAGCGAGCGCTCTACCGACGGAGCTACCGTGACGGCAGAAACTGTTTGAGATACTTTCATTAAATTTCATTTAAAAATGCAGATTTGCAAGAGTTGTTCAACTGTGCCAGTATTTTCTTTGACCTTCCATCTGACCTTGACTTTCCCCCTCATTACTTCAAACAACTTCATACAAAGATAAATCTCTGTAATATCATTTCAACCTACCGGTAACCTACAAAGTTAATAGAAAGAGAAATTCAATGATACCCACTTTCTCCCCCATCGAGGTTGAACTCTCGACCTGCGAAACCTGTCTCCTAGCAGTGTTGGAACAGCTTGGTAGACCAATTGACCATCTACGTTCACTATATATATATATATATATATATATATATATATATATATATATATATATATATATATATATATATATATATATATATATATATATATATATATATTAAGATAGAGAAAATGAATCAACGCTACGTACATGCTACAAAAACATCTGACCTGAAAGTGTTTAATATGAATGAATTAAGTTTATTATTTCTTTCATCATAATTTTTAGCTCCACTGGTCAGAGACCAGAAGAGCTTATGCGATAGTAAGGTGTCCGTCTGTCTGTAAACAATTTTTCAAAAACGCTACTTCTCTACAGTTTTGGTCCGATTTCAATATAACTTGTCACACAAGTAGACTACAGTAAGATACATAATTTTATATATCGGTTTCTGATTTCGATGAACGGTGTTGCAATGGTTGCTAAAAATAGAAATTTCTGTGAAATACTTTCAAAATGCTACTCCTCCTTCTACAGTTTTGGTCTGATTTTCATATAGCATGGTTTACAAGTAGACTACACTGATACATAATTGTCTTTATCATTTTTTTTATTCTGGTGAATGATGTTGCCATCTTAACTAAAATCGAACTTTTTCTGTAAAATTCTTTAAAAAAGGCTACTCCTCCTACAGTTTTAGTCTGATTGCAACCTTGTCACAAAAAGAGACTAAATTATGGTTCATTATTTTATTTATGGCTGTTGCAAAGTTTCAAGTCCATGTGCTACTTTTCTCTTCCTTTGTTATAAGTATAAACCAGTAGAGCTACAGTCTCGACAGAGACTTCTGGTTTTATTAGCTCAGACAAAAAAACAAGATACATATTCATCTTGCAAAGCAAAGTATTTGGCGGGAAATATTAGCTTTAAGGTAAAATAACACAACTTTTTATGCCCCCGTATCGAAGATTCGGGGGGTATATAGTTTTTGCCCTGTCCATCCGTCTGTTTGTCCGCAAAAACTTTAACCTTGCCCATAACTTTTGATTGGTTGGAGCTATGGTTTTCATATTTCACATGTGACAAGACCTTTCTTTGAGTACCACCATATTTGACCTTGACCTTGGAGTTTGACCCAGTTTTGCAAAATTTTACCAAACTTTAACCTTGGCCATAACTTTTGAGCAATTGATGCTAGGGCTTTC